GTGATGTTCAAATGATATGCAGCTTGCTATTTGTTCTAAGCTCCAACACTACAAATAAAGAATGAATAGCTGGCAGTGTGTGCTTTCAGAGGCTCGCTGGTTTATTGCCCATCAATGATTTTGTATTCCAATATTCACTCACTGAGGCAAATCGATTCACCGCAGCAGATGATAACATAGAGTTAGAAAGCCTACAACATGTAATACATTTCCTAAAAGAAGATCAGAATATGAATAAGTATGACATATGCTGTATTAATCAACAATACAAAGTACCTATCTACTGTGAAAAGTACATAGTTAGTCATAGGTGCTTCTTTAGAACAGAAACATGTTGGTTGTAAGTGTTTGACACTGTCTTTTATAATATTACAAAGGCAGGAACATGTTAAAAGGTCAGTAGGTGAATGTATTCATCAACGAACACTTGTGGTAGATTGTCCTATTAGCTGTGCAGGGTGAAAAACATTTAAAAAATAATCAATATACCATTATTTATTGATTGGCTAAAGTATGCTGTTCTTTCAGTGCACATACACAATGTTTAGAGACAAACTGTTATGGAGTGGCAGGACATGGGATGTGCTATGAGTCGCTAACATAGATTATATTGAGGGTTTCTACGTGATAACAGTCCAGAATTAGTGTTGATGGATACTACGCTCTATACAACATCCTCATGTTCTTGCATAGAGTGGTGCATTGATGACGTATTTTAGTTAGCCGGTTAGCAAGTAACGGCTCCCTCAACAAAAAGCAATGGGATTTTTCCAATGGATTTGGGAGTTTTGCAGAAATAAGCTCTGTGGCAAACATGTTTATAATACTTACCTGCTTTGTTCATCAGGATCATCTTCTCATATAAAGACACCTTTAAGGATTTTTGGTGGGCTATGACCAAACTACATCACGGTCACATGACTTAAACTCACCGCTAAGCTAAATGCGGCTAATGTTCTGCGAGATGACGTTTAGTAGTCTCATTTAGCCACTTTTTGTTAGCAACTGTTGTTTTTATGACGCTTTATGAGCTTCAGTCATGTTAACAGCAGACCTTATTTTCGGCCTCTAACCCAAAACACGGCCAAAACAAAGGTTTGAGACGATTGGAACCGCAGCTAAAATGCTAGCTCATTTCAAGGTTTTAGGACTCATTCCTGCACCACTCTATAAGCCGGCATTAAAAAAATTAAGACAACAAATATATGTTATTTTGGTGCCCCGGGGTTTTAATGTTCACCAGTTAAATTTACTAACAGGACAATCTCTTGATCACTTTCTGTATTCTTATTTCAACCACCATAGAAGAAGACAGTGGAGCCAACATGGCCGCCCGCTCTGTAGCTTCTTCGCTGTCTGCTCAGCTGCTGTGTCTGTAAGCTGCTGTTGGGTCTTTGTGATCATCTTTCTGTAGGATTTGTTTTCTTTTTTCTCTGTACCCTTTACTTATTTGTACTTGTTATTTATTGATTGATTTTACAGTGTTCCTTTGTGAAATGTCTGTCTGCTAGAAAAACATCTAGTAGCTTGTTGGAAAATAAAGTGTTTAGTAATGTAAGTGTTGCTTGTCGCAGAAACTATTTTGAAGTAAGATGTGTCTGTCTGTGTTGTTAGTTTATAAAACAAGGAGATTCTTTTTTGTATTTTTCCTACACACAAAAAACAAAGTGCTTCACAAATAAAAATAAATAAATACAACAATAATAACCCCTTTTATTTAGGACAGGGAAGAGACACAAAAAGGCATAAATGGCATATGATGAGATGGAAATACCAGCTCACACAAAAAATACATAATTATTTTTTAATACTAAAAGACAAAACAGAGATAATGGGATCCCGTAACATTTCAAATAACTAGTTCACCAGTTGGATACACACAAGAACCAAAAACACTCTTATTTCAAGCTAATGTTGTCCAACTTCATGTTGTGTTGTGCCATGTTGTTATGGTTTGTGGCAATACATAAAAAAAAATTAGCTTTGCAATATATTTTTTACAAACCTTACATTCAGATAACTCCTTAATTGAACTTAGGGGAGTTTTTAATAAAAAAGAACAAATACATTTACATATATATCTGATCAGAAGGGACAACAGTGACATCACTTGTTAATATGATAGAAAAAACTGCTAGGCTGCTTTTAAAAAATGTTTAGGTCATTTTCCTGAGTAAAGAGCTGTAAACATGGCCGACGCCCAACGTGATTTGCAGGGCCTGGACTGGCCTCAGTGCACTGATATGTGTGTGTGTGAACAGTGGAGAGATGGCCCTCTGGCTCTGGTGATGCTGTGTGAACATCGGCGTCACCATTCAAGGTTGATTGGCTTTATTGGCTGACCCCACATCACGCACATGAACTAACCTGCAACAAAAGCTCCACAGTGAGTGAAAACAATAAACACAACTCGGTGTGTGAGACTCGAGATGTAGCCACAATGTAGCTTTTCATTACAGCCCTCTTTCATGTTCCACACAAGAGACAGCTGAGTGATTTCACACTACATCCTGGAGCAGGTGGTCCAGACATTAGGGCAGCGAACTGAGAAGATATAGCATTATTTAGTCATTACTTAAAGAAAATGTAATATGATTTGTTCAAATTTGGTTTTATGTGTGGAGCAGAATCTTCAGTCCCAATTAAAATCCTGTACAGAGATAAAAAAAAAAAGGAAATAGATTATAAGACTGATAAAGACAATAACACAAGAAAGAAAGGTTTCTGGAAAAATACTAGTTTTTTTAATTAAACAAGAGGGTTTTTAGAGTCATTGCATTTGTATAAAGCCTTAATTGACCGTATGTGCAAATGGGGAACAGTTTACTAGCCACACATCAACAGAAATCCTTTAATTGTCCCACAGCAGGTACATTTACATTGACAGTGCAGATACAAGGAGAAATCTAAATAGTAGAGTAACATATTACATGAAAAGTCAAGCACATGTTTATAAAATAGAAATCACATGCACACCAAAGGTACAAATAAAAAAGTAGCATAATTATAAAGTGGCCAACATAAGCCAAAACATCATTTTTGTTCAATTAATAGATAGATAGATATATACTTGATAGATAAAATACACCACTTCATGTACAGCAACTTTTCGTATGAGTACCTTATTATTTATTTGAAGAAATAAAATAATATTCCCTCTCCTCCTGAGCACTGACACTTCTTGTAGATGTCAAGTTCAGACACCTCCATGTTTCCAGAGTGTTTTTCGCTTCTCTGGACAGTAGATGCCAGTAACATCTTGAACTTTATAATTGAGCAATTTGCATAAACTGCAATTTGCACTTTGGTTCAAATGTAAAAAGAACACTTTATCCATCCTTTAAATATTTCTCAGGGATGTCGTGAACCCATTTCTGTTCTCAAGGTTGAACACATTTCAACAACAGTGATAAAGTCCTGCAGAAGGGATATTTAACAAAAGTTAGCAAAGTTAGTACTAAACTGTAACTAATGTTCTATATTATTATGGTTTGTACAAGTCACTTTATCATTCAGAACACACACACACACACACACACACACACACACACACACACACACACACACACACACACGACACCACACACAGCACACACACCACACACATGCAAGCACACACACACACACCCACACACACACACACACACCACACACACACACACACCACACACACACACACACACACACACACACACACACACACACACACACACAGAGCATCCTTGGCAGCAGAGGACAGCTCTGTGATAATCTGCTGAACATCTCTAAGCTCTCTTTAAAATACACCCCACTGTGTTGTGTGTGTGTGTGTGTGTGTGTGTGTGTGTGTGTGTACACGCGCATGTGTGCCTGTCCTGATGAGTCAACACACTGCCATCTTTTATAAACTTTTTTATTTTTCAAATGGAGCAATGTAATAGTGTATATTAGTGTACTTTTTTTACATTGTGAACTGAGTAATAACATTTTATGGTACTTTATACTTCTATTCCACAACATTCGGACAGCTTAAGTTACTTAACAAATTCTGAATAATCGCTAATCCAAAATATAAATCAATTTATAAATATAAATAATAAGAAATAATAATTATAGGTAAATATAACCAGCAATTGTAGATAAAGTGATTATTTTAATCCAGGTATATATATGATTTGGAAATGAGCTTTTACACACAAAAGTACTTTTCTAAGGTGTATTCTTATGACAATGTTTGTACTAAAGATTTTGAATAGAGGACCTTTACCAGGAACTTGTCATGTTTGCAGTCTGGTATACAGTATTTATTCTACTGTACAGTATTACATTTAACATTCAGTTTCATCTATAACCTAATTGTATGCATCATTTGCTAATAGTTTACTTATTTTTGAATTTTAATTTCTCCATTGTATTACTTGCACTCATTTTTATTGTACTCCTTTACTTCCTTATGTCTTTTTTATATCCTAAGATATATGTTTTATGATTTGTATGGCCAACAACTACATTGTGGCTATTGTGCATATGACAATAAAACTTTCAAACCTTCGAATACAATCATTGTAGAAAAGCATGGTTGTTGCACACACTGCCGACAGAGGGCGCTGTCACTCAAACATATCATTAATAAAAACATTTGGAAAATAGTATTGATTGAAATTGTTGTGATTATTCCACCAACTATTTGCTACATGTTTAATTGAACCTGGAGGCTATATATCGCGAGGTTGAGGAGGAGGAGGTGACCGGGGGGCAGATGGGAGGGCTGATCGGGACGGTGACCCAGTTCACCCCGCACACCAACACCGGAGCACCGCTTGCTGTCCGGAGAAACCACTGCCATTCTGATGATGAAACTACTACTGATGTTTCCAGCTTTCTCACACACAGTTTGACTTCCTGTCCTTGAGTTAAACTAACTAACTCAGTCTGTGTGTGTAAGTGTGTGTGTGTATGTGTGTGTGTGTGTGTGTGTGTGTGAGAAAGAAAGAGAGGAAGGAAGAGGGAGGGATTGGAAGAGGAAAGGAGCTCGAGCGTTAGTTTTCTGAGCATCTGGATATTTGTCTGGAGAAAAGAGACGAAGAAGACAGATTTGGATGTATGGAATACCAAAGAAGAAGACAGAAAAAGTTCACAAGAAGAAGAGAGGAGGATAGGAGGCGGGAAACCCGGAGGAGAGTGTTATTTTTCTAACGGGACAGGAGGACTAACAGCAGGAATGTTACCGGTGAGTTTTCTTTGATGTGATTTATATCTTTAAATGTTTCTTCATGGCTAACATGTGCCTCATAATCCATGCTAATGACTTAAATTCAGAGGTGGAAGAATAACTAAGAACCTTCACTTAAGTAAAAGTACAAATACTTTGGTTTGAAAGTATTCTATTACAAGTGAAAGTCCAGGATTCATAATGCTACTTTGGTAGAAGTACAGATTATTGTCAGCTAAATCTAAATGTACTTAAAAGTAAAAGTAAATATTCAAAAGTAAATATTCATGCTTTTAATTGCTTACAAATACATGTAAGAGCCTCTAAGTGTTGCAGTTTTTTAATATTAAGACCATTTTTTTAATAGCTTTAAAGGTGGGGTAGGTAAGTTTGAGAAACCGGCTCGAGATACACTTTTGTTATATTCCATGGAATGCTCTTAACATCCCGATAGCAATGAATATCTTAAGTGCTTTGACAAAATATCCATAAAAAAAGTGTCATCTGTGGAAGCCGTAGTACTGTAAAAAGCACGACCAATCATTTTAGCCGGCCCGGCTAAAATAACTGGATGGCCTACCTGCCTGTCAGCCTTCCATCTGTGCACAAACTTATCTCGTGCCCTCATTGGTCATGTGCGCGTTCGTGTGTGTTGGAGGAGGGGCTCTATAAGGAAGTGGCAGATTTTCTCCGGGTTGTGTATTTTCAAATTCTAGCGATCTCGAGCCGGTTTCTCAAATTGACCTACCCCACCTTTAACCATCGGCTTGTTTTCACTTCAACAATTCCCAAAATAACAGACAAGAAAGCAGGGCGTGTGCAACTTTTACAAACTATTATCTATTATAAAAGGTAGTTTATTAAATGTTTTTCAATCATTACAACAATTTCAACAAAACTAATCCCTTGAACTATTCATTGACTGGCTCAAATTTTAACAGTACAAAAACCGGAAGTTCTGCGGTCTCCTTTGAAGACGGTAACCATTGACCCTAAACCTACTGGAGTGTGTTTTGGGCTTTCCATTAATAATCCTTCAATGGGCAATGGAGGGAGCCTCGTTTGTGGTTTAAAGGGTCCAAAGGATGGATGAATATTGTTTTATGAAATATTTTAAAACAACACCACCCTTATTTAGATAGATGTTAATATGGTATTTACAAATTACAACAGTTGTCTATTATTCTGGTTGGTTCATTTGGAGCAATCAGAAAAACCATTGCCAATTAGGTTTCAATGTCCTAAACTTTGACACTGCTGTTAGAATATTGACAGTAGTTATGATCAGTGGCGGCGCCAGATATTTTCTTTTGGGGATGCTGTGGGGTAGCTTGACGTTTCATAGAGGGTGCTCAAACATGTAGGGTTCCCCCCATAATGTCCCGGGCGCTACAGTTGAATTTTCTACTGCAACACTTCCCCACACGCACATACACAGTACAAACACGACTGTTACAAGTAAGGCTCGATAATCAGCTCACGGCATAAGCAGGGGTAAAGTGCTATTCTTTTTACAAGTGGGGGGTAGACCTAACAATCCTCTAGGTGGGTCCGGGGGCAGATTTTCTTTTTAAATATTGAAATGAAGTGCATCAATCTGGTGCACTTTGACAGCAAAATGAAGAGATCTATGGATACCCTCTCTCAACACCCATAGGAAAACAGAACTGTAAACCGATTTTCTATTTCTTTATGGATATTTTACAAATCACTCCCCTTTTAAACTGAATTCTTGTTTTACTGTCATAGTATTTCATACCTGTTTTTCATTTATGCTCTTATTTTTTTATACCTATAATAGCCGCGTTCACACCGGAATACTTCTCACCGTACTTTTCGCGTTTAGTTCCGTTAGTACCCCTTATGTCCACACCAAAAAGAGCACTTCATCTCGGGAACTTTTACCCCCATTTTTAGTGCCTGCTGAGAGATGGTACTTTCCTGGGGGGAAAAAAGTGCCCCAGTTCTGATTGGCTGGGCGAATTGCAAACCACGCCCCGTACAACTCTGAAATGTTTTGTAGAGCCGCCATTTTATTATCCTCGCATTAGCATTATTAGCATTAGCATTCGCCCAGCGCACAAACGCAGAGAGACTAACTTATGGCAACACAAAATAAAACATGGGAGCGGTGGAGATGAGGAGGTGTCGGCTTTCTGGAGTTGGGGACTGGCTTCAGTAGAAGCTGCTGGGACTCCCAGCAGCTTCTACTGAAGCCAGTCCCCACTCCGGGGACTTCCGGCCGGGGACTCCGGGTGGCAGTATACACCGTGAAGTTGTTTGCGGCCTGCCAGTAAACCCAAAGCAGAAGAAGACGAAGTGACGTCAGCGGCTCATTTGCGTAATCTTCCCTCAGGGAATTTATTCCGGTGTGAACGCGATCTGTACTAAATGTCCTGGGGTAATAAGTGCCGGCACTAAATACGGCAAAGTACTTGGTGTGAACGCGCCTATTGATCATATAAACGTGTGCCTCAGAAATACTTATTTACATTAATCGTGACCAAACCGTTTTGAGACCCACTGAGATAACTTAGACTAAAGTGAACTATCTAAACACTGAGAGAGTCCTTTACTTCACCTGAGCTGAGGTTATCTGAGACTCTCAGTCTGACAGGAGAGAGTTCTCCCTCCACCTTGTTGTTGAAAAAGCTCCTTATATCCGTTAGCGTAGCTAGCACCAGATGCTAACCACAACGATCTCCGGTACTGGTGCGTGCTCTCTCGCTCGCTCGCGCACGCACACAAAATGGCTCGTGAGTCGTGCCACACACACACACAGAGCAGAGCTTGAATGAAACACAGAGACCCAGAAGTAGGCTACTTGTACTGTACTGTAGCATATTATTTTCGAATCAATCCTTTTTCAAATTATGAATTTCACACATAAAAGAAAAATAAGACATACATTTCTTGGGGGTGCTATGCCATAATGTTAAACAAATCAAAAAATAGTATGCAGTATTTAAAATGTTAAAATTGTTTAAAAAATAGATGGTACAGAAAAGTTTATTGTAAACAACTCGTCTTATCCCCTTGACAACTAAGAGAGTTTCTACCTACGATCCAACAGCAAAATCAGTATTCCTGTTTCCATACTTCCTGTCCTTCCTCTCTCAATCTTCCACTCTCTTCATCCCCCCCATATACACAGTGAAAACACTACACTGCTTTGTGGCTGCTGTCAGCTTCAGACAATGCACTGAAGATATAGGGATTTGTTTACACGAGGGAAGTAGAGAGAGAGAGAGAGAGAAGAGAGACAGACACACAGAGAAAGAGGCAGAGAACACGTCAACCTCGACCATTGACCCAGCCTCAATGTTCTTCCTGGTTCAGACCTTACTTTATCCTTTTTTCTAAATGGTACTGGCTTTTAGCTTCTACCATTGTCCATTTAGTGTTTACATTTTTACGACTTTCACTTCCCCCTGTGAAAGTATTTGCCTAAAGCTGCTATCAGAAAGTGTACTTTTGATTCAGACTGCTGAAACTGTATTGACTGACTCTTAGCTTTGTGGATGTTGGCCTGTCTGCCAGTGGCTTATCCACCGCTTTGGTACAGACTGAATTATATCTCAACTGATGCTTGTTTTCCATTTAACTTTTATATAGAAGTTCATAAAGACATGGTCTGGTGTAGCTTACTTATACATGCTGTGCCACATTTTCGTGTGTTGACTATACAAAATATTTACATAGTCTCCAATAGGGATGCATATCGTTGACTTTTTTACGATACCGATACCGATACCACTGAACGATACCGATACTCAACCGATACATATCGTGATACTTTCATGTTGCATAAGGGAAACATGTTATCATCCCGCAATTACTCCCATGAAGCGCTTTATTATATAGTTAACATGTCAAATGAATATTAAATTCAATTGTGGGACTTGGACCTTTTAGTACTGAACAAACAATGAAAAACACATTATCTATGAAGAAAACTGATTCTGCAATATCATTTATAACAACCATCAGGCGGGAATAGTACATCTTGTCAATGGAAAAATAAAATAGCACCAGTGTAATTAATATTCAACCTGAGATTCGACTGACCAGAGAACACATAAAGGATCATGAGATCTCGGCATTGCACATAAAACAAATAGCATCCTTAAAATCAACATTTGCCTGATGAAAGAAAACAAATCCCATCACAGTTCAGTTTTGTGCATTCATCTTCAAGAAGATGAGCATATCTGCTCTCTCTGGATCCAAACGGGCCCTTTCGCAGCGTAGGATATCACCTGCTAAACTGAACACTCTCTCGCTTGGCACGCTGCTTCCCTGAACACAAAGGTACTTGGTTGCCATACGAGACAGCATTGGTTGGAGATTGGATGTGTTGCTACCTTTCCCAGAAATAAACTTCTTGCAGTGGTTACAGACCCCACCATTCAGACTGGCAGTGGTTACAGACCCCACCATTCAGACTGGCAGTCATATGCAGCCACACTTTAGATTTTCAAAAGTGACTTGGTTGCGGAGTTTCACTGCAAAATTGACATCGTAATTCCTACGGTTTGGGCACAAGTTTAAGGATATTATGCCTCACTTTAAAAAAAAAAAAAAAAAAAAGTATCGAAAACCGGATCTGATTTCGGTACGATATACCGTAGCCACCAGTAACCGGTATTTCGGTAATACCGGGAACCGGTATGCATCCCTAGTCTCCAAGATCTGCCGATTTTGCCTAACCTTTAAAGCAGGGGTGGGGAACCTCCATTTGATACGGCCCTCAAGGTAATTTATAAACACACGCAAAACATTTTTTTAAAGAAATCTAGACCGCAAAATAATTAAACAACCGAGTGTCTGTTTTTCCTGGCCAAGGTCAGGTTCCTTGAACACAACACGAGCCTAACGTGTCATCACGTGGTATATGTCTCGTCTGACAGTGGTGTAGTGCTGCCGGAACGCACCGGAACGCGGCTCCAGCACTTCAAAAATTGCAGTATGCATAAAGGCCCTGACACACCAGGCCGAAATCGGCCGTTTTCTTTAGT